CGTTGGCCTGTGGCAAGGAGAATGCACGTAAAAGGTGCCAAATAACAATACAAATAATTTGCTTGTGAAAAGCTTGCAGAAATATGTCATTCTGCTATTATGGGAAATCAAATTAATGTTGTAATGGGAAATACTGAGAAAGATACATTACACCGACTGTAAGAAGACACTATCTCGGCCATTTGCATTGGCAGCTTGGGATAAAAATACCATATCTCGCGGGATTCTTTGATGTCCTGTAAGTGTTTTTAAAAACTAACAGTAACCCTCAGACAGACAAAAAAAAGTCCCTTGAAAACTACTCTTTTAAATCAACTTAAGTGTACTCACAGCCAGTAATACAAATCCTAATAAAAGATGAATGGGAATGCATACACGTATTGGAGCAAATTGAATTCAGAGAGGACAGGTCTCATAGCAAAGTTTCCGTTCATCAGTCCAGGTTTCCGACGGAATAAAGGATGCTGACCCAGGTTGTGGATCGCTTAACTAGAAATTAACTTGAAGAACTGAAAATTCTAATTCCGCCCTTGTTTTATTGCGTTTCCGTTTCTGTAAGCTAATTAACAGACCATAAGAGGTGATATATTACGGTGATAATCTTCAGTAAACCAACATTTTTCGATTAGTTATCGATTTTCACGCAATTACATGAGCCGTCCATAATTTAAGTATCGAATTAGATTGGAACTGGCTGAGAAGAGAAAAACAAACTCCTCAAGCATTTTAAGTTTGTTCTTGATATGTATTTGGGGTCGTTGTTATCAACTTTGTATTTGATTGCCCAGTGTCACTATGTACTTTACTCCCACAAACCATTACACTTTCCTGATGAGAAAATAGCAAAGATTGACAAAGAGAAAATACCATACACTCCTCAGAAAGTGTCTTATATTGGAGTCTCAACATAGGTCTACCAAGATACTCTGTGGCGTATTGGATAACCTAATAGGGTAACAAGAGTAGCGAAGAAATTGGGCGTGTGACGTCGGAAAATCTATTTTCATATAAATTAGCGACAGTCGTAAAACCAAATCTAAGCATTATTTGGAAGCAAAAGACACGACACGTCGACTATTGTAATGACAACTTATTTGCTGCTGTTTTTTTTTAATTCTAGAAACCAAAGCCAAAATGAACAATAAGTCACAGCATGGTGCACGTTATAAAAATTGGGTGGCAAATCGAATAAAAGGGCACCACGTACCTTATTTTATCAGCCTTTGCTGATCTAATTTCATTTCTTAAAACAAGTGACCAAACACATAATAAGTGTAGCTTTTTTATTGTATTCCCGAGCGTGACTCGTGCACAGATATTTCAAATACGAGTTAACCAAGGCAATTAATCATTTCCAAAGCGTATGAAAAAGTTATAATCGAACATTGTAATTCAATTAAGCTTTGTCATAATCTACGCGCAATGGAAAAGGCTAAAATGGGCAAATAAACAGTTTTAGGTTCTAAAGCTTCACAATCATTAGTTTCAAGCTTAACAATTGTCAAATTGCTTTTTCGTGTCGTTCCAAAGTTTTCATTGACGAACAATTTATCAAAGTGACATACTTAGAACGGTTTCAGAAACCAAAAAGCAATGTAAGTAATGTAGTAAGGAAAAATCGAGCGAAGAGGCGGGATGATGAGGTTAGTTTTTTTAATATGATGTACCATGTCGGCCGTAGAATATTTTTATTAAAAGAATTTACCATTCAACAGAATAAGTTATATGCTATCTTGTGAAAGTTTTGACGTCGCTTTACGCACCTATCTTTATTGTTTGACCACTATCAAAAACATGCTAATATAGATGACATTGAACTTATTAGCAGGATAATTCAGCGTGAAATATTTATTAAAAATAGATTAGAACCTTGCGTGACTGTAATTAATAAATATTGGCGCCTAAAGGTGTTTTTATCGTTACTGCATAAATACCTCGAAGAAATATCCGGTTGATTTCTTTCTGCTTTAACCACACATGCATAAACTTGTGTAACAGTATCAAAAGCCCTGTCATTGTTTTAAGATGAATATATTTCATTATTATCTAATGTCATAGCACAATCTTATTTGTCACATGCAAATATTTAGGAACTAACACGTTTGGACATTGCCGTCCATTTTGAATTGGCAATCATTGTTCTTTAGATTTAAGGTAAAATACCAAAACACGAACAAGGTCTGTAAACAACAAAAAGAGATTAAATCTACCCTGTAATTTTCGTATCGACAGCATTCCCTCTATACCTGATAAAACCTTTATTGAAAGAGAACTGTTTATCATTCGAAGCGGTGGATTGTTTATCTATCAGTACTATGACCCTAGGAGTGTTGACACATTGGAATACCAAGTAAACCGCCTGGCCACTAATTAATGTTCAAATTCAAGAAATTCTAACCATAATTAACACGTCATTGGAAAAGAGAAATTTGCAAAGCCGATTTGCATTTTTCCCCAATGTCGCAATTTTAACGTCCTCGGTAAAATGATATTTGTGTAAATGCAAAGGGATTTAGTCAGTGAACACTGAAGATTTATCTTTTATTCAAAAACTGCATGTAAAGTTTTTTACGGTTTTTGTCTAACCTTGTCTGTAACCTTAACAAGAACGTTTTCAACATCCAAACAAAGTTGACCAAATTGTATTGAATACAAATACAAGAAAAAGAGCAACAACAAGAACAGCAACGAAAACAGGGTGGCGACTCGAAGAAGAAAACAACAACAACAATAATAATAAGAACTGAATAATAAGACCGTTTTAATCAAATGTATGTGATAGAGTATTTTGAATATCTCGATATTAATGCTGCATATGAATCTTATGGAATCAAAAATCCAGGAACTGGTTTCCAATGACTACGTCACGCCTTCTTTACCGGGTTTCCTCCAAGTCCACACTTTCATACATATAAAGGAACTGCATCGTTCCGCTACGATAGGACATGTACTAATTTTCTAGAGAAACTGATTTTGCATTCGTAAGATAATGATTGTTTGAATATAATAAGAAAGAGATATTAGTTTTACCTTGAAGTACTGCATTTGAAGAACCAATTTCAAACAGTAAAAAAAAAAAAAAACACATTTGTGGTGATTTTCAGCTAGCATATCTTCGTTTTACATTTGCTTTAAAGGCTTATTGGTTTTATAACCACTAACATTCTCGATTGACATATGAAAAATATTTTTATTATAATTCTTTTCTGGTGTTTGCTAGTTAATAATTTTCTGTAAAAGCAACTCGTACATAACTACACCGATGCACAGCCAACTTTGGCTTTGACCTACGATAGAACATTCTAGATACCGTTTTATGGTGCACTGCGTAGTTTCAAAACTGCGTCACTCTCGTTTTTGTACACTTTTGTTCATACAGTTTAAGGGACATAGAAATAACTGTATCTGATGAAATCAGACTTCATTTTCTCGAGGTTTTGTCAAATATTGTGCTTCATTTCATTTTATTATAGTATTTTATATTGCTCGGACACGAGTCAGCAAAAGTGGAAAAAGCTCTTCTTGATAGAGGAACATATAAAAGTCTTAATTAGATTCGTTTGCTAAAGTCAAATTATTCACGTTGCAGTCTGACAGGCGACTTCCCCATACAGCAATATAAGGTAGACTCGCGATTCATCAATGAGAAGGAATTCCAATTGAAAACATTGAACCCGGATTATACCAATATTACTCTACTGGGTTTGAGTGACGAAATCCCTTTTACGAAAAGAGATAAATCGCCCATTGTATAAATAAAACCAAGAATCTTTTTTTTTTTTTTTTTTTTATCTAAATGAGACTTTATATGATAGCTAAAAAAGAAACATCAGTGCTGTATTATACCACTACTGAAAAAAAAAAAAAAAACGTGAATAAGCAGTACCTACGCGGAGAAGTTTTGTTTTCGGAAAGTTCAATATTATATGGCTGAACAAAATGCCCTTTTAAAAGCAGATCCTTTATTATTTTTCACTGTGTTGTTAAAAAGGGTTTGAGTGACAAAACACCCTTTTGCTAAAACAGAAAACAGAACTTTTTTCAATATTTCGCTGTGTGCAATAGACTAACGCCTGTGAAATAATCAATTGGTCGCGGTTTTCTATCAATAGTATAATGACAGTGAACACTTGGCGTAGCTAAGGTGGGTTTTTTTGATAACACGAAATGACACAAACAGACACTTGATCAGAGGTAGGTGGAATATTGATATATCAGTTCTTTTTTGTTTTGTTTTGTGGCATGACGCTTACTCGTTTGAGTAATGAATACAAAACACGAAAGATATAAAAACAGCTATTTTTCCTCTTTTGTCTAAAAATCAAGTGTGGTGGGTATTGTGGATATTGGCAAATTAACTGAACCAGTAACTTATATTTTCAATGTTATAAGTTTAGAGTTAAATTCAGTTCAAAGATTTGCAAGTTAGTGTGTCTTACGCGAAGAAGAGTTGAGATCATATACACCGTATGAAAGATCCCTTTGAGGCACCGCCACGTTTGTAACTGAAGTTTGTCCAATCCATGGTGCTTTCAGAAAACCTTTTTTTCGAAAGATATCAATAATTATTTATATGTCAGGACATTCGAACAACGACTTTTAAACTGATACGAGTCGTCCCTGGTCTCCGTTTCATTTTCATTGCATCCAAATCTACGCCATAACATTTGTAATTGAAAATAAGGATGACTGTGCTTAGCCAAGACAAAAATTAAGATTTCTTTCGTCTGAAACAGAAGAGCTTATCACCTCCGTTTGCTGACCCCCCCCCCCCCCCCCAACAAAGAAGAAAAAAGACTTGTTTTAAAAAAGTGTACCGGCTTTATGACCGATGGAAACCTAAAGAAAAAAAAAAAAACAAATATGGAATGTAAACAAATGGAAGCTAGCGCCGCCTACGCCTAAAACTGAATGCGCAACATTTCACCAACCACGAAAACAAAAGCAAAAGATACATATCGTAAATATATATAATTAATGTGCCTGACAGTTGTACTTACGTTGTCCGTTAGATCTACGAATTATATTTTCTAAAAACGTGTTCTGTGGTGCAACTAATCCTCGTTTGGTTCCATGCATTTTGGGTGATATATAACTATTTTACTCCTTTGGTGATCACAAAGCTTTCCCAGTAATCATAGTAATGAGACATTCTCTTTTATAAACTCGAAGTGTGAGGCGGATGGTTATGGGTAATTGGTGGCATATTCTGTGGTATAAGGGTAGTCCGTGTCAAATACGCTATTCCCAAAATTTTCAATTTTCCTGCCGCTGATGAGTCCCTGACACCGTGAAATAAGAAGGTTCTCCATGATTGTTTAATCCATATGGCGGCTCAGTGGTTAAGTACTGACTCCGCGAGGTTGTTTATGGTTGTGATAACAGGTTTGGTCGGCACTAAAGCCACTGCGTCTCTGGATCAATTCGCAAGTAATTTTTGCAGTCATCTATTGCCAACGCATGCGCACTATACATGTCGTGTGACAGGTAGGCCTCATCTGTAATGGAGAGGTGTCCAATATAGTTAATTAGGCGGTGATGTGTTTTGTATCGATTATGCCTAGGGGCGTCAAAGAAAGAGGCACAATGCCATGCATGAAGAATATAATTCGGCACCGTCTTAATCCAGTCAATTGATGTTTACCTGAAGTTCAATATAAGACGTGAGAAAGAAGGTTTGGTATCTATTTTTTACCAAACAGACAGAAGGATTAAGTTTTGACAATAACACAAAACAAGTCGTGCAAAGGGGATCTGAATGCACAAACAAAGCTTAGATAGATGTTGTGTATGTACTAAGAGTTTCCGACGGGAACAGTTCATTGTAACATCTCCATGCTAAAAGTTGCTTTACGCACGGGCATTTTATCAAATTGGTTGCCGTTTACATAACCTATAGTTGCTATATGTTGCTATACACAGACACACGCACATATATACACGTACACAATAAACACATAGCCCCCGTAATGTTCTTATTGACTCCATGCACCAAGAGCTCAGAACTCACAAGGGAATACCGTCGAACAATGGGGATGTTCGCTTATAATAACGAAACAAGGTAGCATCCTTTTGCAACAAAAGCATCAAATCGTCCAAACCCAACTACGTGCGATTTATCAATAATTTCACTCGAAGTTATGTTAATTAAACACAAGAGTTTACCGAATGTATTGGTTGCCATTGTGGGTAAGAATAACACAGACCAATAGTGTTTGACAATGTGTTCGAAGAACGAATCCAAATAGTGACGTCTCTCGTTGTCAAGGCAACAACAAACGATACCGTCTCCATACGCTGACTCGAAAGAATGGGTCGATGATTGAGTTATTTTCATATTATCCACACGCGGTATTTGTACCTGGAATATCATTTTTCGCTTTTGATGTCCGGTTATACCGATACTTCGATTCCTTTTAAGAGTATGATAGACATTATTTTATTACAAGGTGGTAACATTTCTGCTCTCTAGTTATGGGAGGAATTATGGTCAGGTGATGTTTTCATATGGAAAATTCTATGATAGAAACATTGGCGTAAATATGAAAGGTGACAATACATAATGATCCTGATAATTGAAATCGACACCTCTTTTTACCCGATTTACTTCAAGGACATAAATGACTCATGACGTATCTGCTTATTGCAGAAATATGCAATAAGCAGAAATATGTTGGCCAAAATATGTCGGACAAAACTCTTGTATTCCAACTTTCATCTCTAATTACAAAGTGTGTGTGTGTGTGTGTGTGTGTGTGTGTGTGTGTGTCCCCCTGATGAGAATGATGAGCTAAGTGAAACATGTTCGTGAAAATCAATTTTTTTTGTATTATTGAGGTATTTAGATGTGCAGATTACTTAATTTTGAAACTTTCAATTGCTTCATCCAACTTACTAGCTTACAAGTGTGTATATTACAATTTTATGTTCTAACTCCAAATTACTTTTGGGACTTTTTTCATTTGGTTTCCTTCTGGTGATCAATTAAATATTTGACAAATTATCGGCAGTTTATACTGAAAAGCAATGTCACATTCACGGAAGCACAGATTGGAGAACAACGCCAGTCATCAAAAAGGTGATGTAATGCCACGAGGTATTCCATCACACAGTTAATATCTTGTGTAGCTGCCGTTCCCAAATGACGCCATTTATTCGAGGTAATGACCCAACCTTTTTGGTGATGTATTTCTGGCTGAAAACAGCTCACTCCTTGACATGAATCTGTCTCAGCTCAGCCAGTTTGATACCCTGGGTATCTCTTCCTACATCACAGTGCCCTGTGTGATTCAATTATGGAAAATAACCAGGCCAGTCTAGTTGCCCATTTCCTTGAATTGTTGTGTTCTGCGAGCACGATTTGGTAGAGCATTGCCATGTTGGAACAGAAAGTTAAGAATAAAGGGTTCTAGCATACGGTACCATTTCTGTTGACAGAGCTTGCATATAGACGTCGGTATTTCAGGTTTCTCTGAGGAACACCAGTTCAACATTCGTAATGTATGGTAGCCAAGGTTGACAGAAACACTGCCCAACAAACAGCCATAACCAATCCTCTCATAAAGTTGACATGAATCATGGAGTCCGCTATCAACACGTTGAAGAAGGAGTCTCCAGTGACGCATTTGACTGTAATGAAGTTGGCCGGTCCATTTTAGTGTTGGTTAAATGATTTTAGGAGAACTTCTTGAACCCAACCCAGGAATCTGCTGTTGGCTGATTCTCTAGACACTTGGGTTTTGCTAAGTTCTTTTGCCTCCCGGGCTTTATAGTCTTTCGGGACGACCAGTACTGATATCTTGTAGCACATGTTGCTTCTTGTGATGCTGCTGAGTGACCACACAGACAGTTTTTGAGTGAATCCAAAACGACCATCACATCCCTTCTGTTTGCGTCCAGCACGCCACATCTAAAAAACCTCAAGCACCAGTGAGTGGGCAATAAATGCACATGTGACCTTTGATACTGTTCAGATTTCACCAAGATTTGTTACACAGGATACACAAGTTTAACCATCTATAATAAATTACTGTAGAAATTTTGTTTCATGTCCATAACATGAAGGTTGAATACCTGTCATTGCTACACTCAGCTGTATTAAAAGTGTTGTGACAATTAATTTTCGATATTTATTCGTCATTTTAGCAGTAGTGTTTATGTGTGTTCCATCAACTCGTTGAATAAAATATTTAATTAGAGTCATATCATTAATACATAATTCGAGTGTCAGAATATATGCACCAGTCTTCAATAAGCCCATTGTCAACGTTTCATATTATCAAAAACACAATACAGTCAATATATATAGAGAAGACGAGTTAGCAATATACCTTTTCCAGCAAGATAACATCATATCATTTCATTATTGTGAGGTCTATCGTAAGAAAGTCTTTTTTCAATGCTTATGAATTGGAAATACATTACCCGCGCTGAAGAACAGATGGAACAGATCCGTTCTCTGCTCTTTATGAATCTCTTATTTAAGACAGAATATATGTATCTCTTCAAAGAATGACATAACCATCATTCCATATACTTACGTAAGTTTACACAGACACACGCACATATATACGTAATTTTCTTTGCAAATTGAACTGACTCGCTTTTTTTATTTATTTTCAAAAACATGTACATTAACACACCTGTTCCCGCTCACATTGGCACAAAACATTGCTCTAGATCTTTTCGTGACATGGTAATGGCTCCATGCACTTAAGTAACTTTGTATTCTGTGAAAATATTATTAACTCATATTCACACATCTGCTCTCGGTCACATTGACACAAAACAGATCTAGATCTTTTCGGAAGAACTTTTGGAAGTCCAATTACGTGGTACAGAGATATGCGTCTTGAAATACATGAGGACATTTCATTCGTCAATTCCCCTTGCACGTCGCAGCAAATATTTTAAAAAATTTTGATTTGTTAAAATATCTGTTGACTTTTACACAAAAGCACGTATAACAGTAATTATTTTTTTCGTTCAGTAAGTCGCTGGCTCTTCTGTTTCTTCATTTATAGATGTGCTTTCTCAACATCCTCATTACCCCTACGATATACACTTGGTGGGTATCAAGAGTATAATCATTTGGCATTTTGAGAACATACCCCCCAGCAGCGATTAAGGACTTTGAATCACTCACAAAGTCCAAATGCATGCATGTATAATCTTCTAAATGTCTTCACCGATGCGATATTGTTAAATAGTAATCGGAGGGTGGGGATAAGTTTAGAAATATTTAACAACTGCTATTATCGCAAAAAAGCAAAAGACTGACTCGGTCATAGCATGGCGAGAATCAAGAGACGCTTGTAAAGGAATGACAAATGGGTCTCTTTATTGAATTCCACAATATTGTAGACATGTCTATACAGTGTTTAATCGATAGGGTACAGGTTAAATGATAGAAAGCCATTTAGGGATGAGGTGAGAAATCCCAACCTTAACTCATTTTACATCGATGATATGCTAGGATGTGTTTTCAGTTGACATTGTCATTTGACAAAAAAAAAGGTGTTTTAAATGCCTTATTTTGTGTTACGCAAAAGGCGAATACTTTGTCTTAATTCTGATGTATTGGACGAAATCTAGATTGGTAAAATCGCCAGATGAAGACAAATTTTCAATGAATGGTAAAATATAGTTTTGGGTTTTACAATGAACATTGTTGTCTGCAATGTGTTTGAATAGAAAGTCTTACGTAGGAGTTTTGCTTTTAACATCATCTATATTTGAACAGATGGAGATTACATTAGACTGTCAAAAGGTCATGAAACGTTGATTAATCGAACTATAATCGAAGAGCAAATGAAGTAGCTAATTCTGTATTTTTGTTCAGGTGCATCAAGAATGTTTAAGTAACTAGATATAAAGGGAATTTAATGCCCAGTTCCAATTACATTCTGTTGAGTCATTAGAATCCGATAAAAAAGGAAAATAGAAATTATATAATGCCAATAAAATCTCACAGACTTAGTAGAGAATGGACAATCGGAACTGGATCTGAAGTAATACTAGAAGATACGAAATGTGAGGTGGACAACCTGTGATGCAGGTACCGAAACGAACGTGCAGCTGGTTCATAGTGTGTGTGTGTGTGTGTGTGTTACTGAAAACCTGAAACTGTGATATATCTTTCATTTGAATTATTTTGGAATCGTGGGTAATTCGTTCAAAAGATAGCGAAACGCACACGAGAACCCTTGCGTTGCCGCCGTGAACTTCATCCTTATCCCAGCTCATAACCTGTCATAACTTATACAAGTTATTAGACACTGAAATCAATAGATCAGTTGGTATTAAATCACCAACCGAAACGTGCTCGCTAAGCACGTGATAAAATGTTTTCCACTTAAGAATATGCCATCAATCATCAGATATTAACCTCATACATGGGT